AGTCTAATATTTAAATGACTAGTGTGATTAGTGATTAAAAATATATGCAGAAATAACTATCTGTTTTTCTAATTTAAAATGAGTCAAAACTTATTCCAAATATCTGCTCTTACAGGTGTCATTATGGATTCTCATACCGTAATTAATAGGTTTTTTGCTTTAACTTGTTAATGGAATTATGAATTTAACACAACAGTTTGTACTTAACACATACAATTTTTCTTTGATTGTAAAATACTTTATCTGTATCGATTGAAATTATCAAACAAAATCTTTGTGAAATATAAACATAAATGTAATTGAAATTATTATTAATCTTTTATTGTTCTAATTTTTGGCAGGGTTATGTATTTAATTTTAGTAGTATATATGCCTTAAAATAAAATCTGATAAATTCTTTACATTTGCAGTATTGAAAAATTTGTTACAACCATTATAGTTTAAAAGTGTTACTAACCTTTATGTGTAATAATTTATATACTTATACTATGCAATTATAAAGTATTAGAGTCGAATCCCTCTAACTCGGCTCTCAGTTTCTTGAGAATCCGTATAATTCGATCATCACCTTTTTTATAAATCACTAAAGATATTCTGATGACCAATCAAAGAATTTTCATTTGGAATAATATGTGATGTATTAACAGCTAGACTGGAATAATTTCTAAATCGCCTATACAATCCAAATGGTATAGATATATTTTAATTATTGTATTATTGTAATTACAATACATATTTGTACGAGTTTTAGTGAATGAGCACATGATTCTTGATCGGTCCAAAGACTGTTACAGTATTCTAGTTTTGCAGTTTTTATCCATTTGCTTTTGTGAAACTAATTCTTAGATTGTCTAACGAATTTGGTTATATGTTTTGTTGTCTTCTTGAAAATTAAAATCTTCCCTATTTTCCTTTCAGTAACGAAGTGGCTGAAGAAAGTTAGATATCCTCTGTTAATTACCATCCACATTTCTTTCTATCGCTGGCTAGCTGTTGCTTCCTTTAGCAAGTTTGCCTGAAGGTATCTTGTTGTATTTTGTTGTAAGTTAAACTTTCAATTCATTGTGGGTGCACTTTATTAGTTTACATACAAATTTAAAAGTGTTGGTCTGTGTTATATGTACAAGTGAAAATGTACAGCGAGCAGGAAAAAACAAATTAATTTGACAATGTAAAATGAAATATTATGTATTAATCAAACTAGACAAATGAGAAAGCATTAATAAAATCACCAAGGATTTTGGTGTTGGATGGAACTACGACGATACGATGAAACAAAAGAGGTTCAAAATCGAGTTTTAGTGTATGAAAAGATCATGTATTCAAAGTTTACAGGAAAGGAATGTATGATAGTGCAGAATATGAGAAAATGAGGGTTTTTATATATGGTTTAGGCAACATAGAGACCATCCATTTTGTAGTAAAAGCCCTCAAATCCTACAAGGAATTTCAAGAACGAGAGCTTGAACTTATCGCTAGTGAGATTATTGGCTCTCTCTCAAGTGACGTTACTGGCACTTGTGAGAATTTCGGCTTACTTTCAGGTGAAACAAATGCTGTGGCATCAGACAGCTACACGTTTGTGGAAAAAAGTGTCTGCTAGCTTTTAAAAACGTTAACAAATTTAAGGAAAATTTCTACTGACTAACTAAAAGAAGGGTTTATTTGGGGATCAAATTTACAACTGCTGATATATCCGGTCGGAATGTTCAAATGCTGCCTTCGAATATGGTAGCATCAGGAGAAGAAAAATCGTTTCCAAACTATAAAAGATGTAAAGAGAAAGTTATGCCCTGGTGTTTAAAAACGTAAATCGGTGCAGTAATGAGATTGACACTTTCTATGAGTTGCCTATTTGGCACAGTAATTTGTCAAATGCATGTATGAATGGAGTGATTTTCAAGTCATTTAATTTAGTCATTGAATAGAGTCAGTGGAGTTTAGAATGTAGTCATTTAATTTAGTCATTGAATAGAGTCAGTGGAGTTTAGAATGGAGTCATTTAATTTAGTCATTTTAGAGAATATTTGTTTTTTCGGTGTAAAAAATTCTTAAATCGAAAAATCTGCCAAGGAAATCAGTTCCGATTCTCTGCAATTCCTTATCCTATCCTGATGTGGATCAATTACAATGAAAACATAAGATCCATGTAGGAAGGAAAACACCTAACTTTACGTCGGTATATCAGCCAATAGAACAGGCAACTCTGTAAGAGTTGAAGAAAAGACACAGAATAAACTTCCTTCTTTCCTCTTATTACTCATTGATAAAGGATGTGACAAAGTTGATAAACTAAAAAATGTAATCACGTTGGCGTAATAACTGGACATCTGAACCTTGGAATGAACTTGAGAGTTAAGCTTCATTCATTCCTGGAAAATTTGCTGAGTGATTCACGATGAAATCGGTGAATGTTTAGAAAATGGTAAAATAATTGCATTAAAGAAAGAAATTGAGGATAATAATGAGAATAGCGAAGACAACGAAGAGGTAAAAGAAAAATTAAAAATATAACTCAAAGTGAAGGAACAAAGGTCGTTGGAAAAATACACCGTTAACTTGAAAAAGTAAGCCGCATCTAATATGGAATAATTTTTTTCATTGCTTCACGATGTCTCCACGAAGACAAAATAAGTGAGCGAGGCAATCTGGAATCAGGAGATTGTTTTTACCAAGAAATGTAAGTCATGTCTTCAGTTTTGTATGAGATATCTTTTTAAACTTTTGTTTTAGGGCATGTACTTTTCCGTGTTTTTGTGCTAGACCTTTTATTAGGATAATATGCTTTAAAATATTATGCGTCGTGAATAACCCGCCTTTATTATGCGGTACTTGACAGTTTCACTAATTCCTCACTCATTCAGTGCACATTACATCGAATATGAGGACTCTACTATGTTAACTATATTACAAAAGGTTATTTAGTTTGCTTAGTGATATTCTGTACTGCATTCTTCTCTTCTATCTAACTGAATGCTTGCTTATCATCCTTTTTGTTATGTAATTATCGCTAGTAAATGCCGTTATTTTTTCCTGTAGAGATAAATTGCAATTCAGTTCATTTGTATGAAGCTAATAAAAATGTCTTCCATAAAGTTAAAACATAATTAGAAATTTAGACTTCATTGTAACTACAAAACGATTAAAATTCCTGCACTGAAGTAGAATTAAAATGAATAAAAACCCTTCATTTACTTCATTCAGGTTTCGTTTACCCTTTCTTTTAATGTACTTTTAAAATAACCTTTCGAAGTATTTTACTCAGTCTGTAAATATTATTTTTACAATTTTGAGTTGAACCCTTCTAACTTAGCCTAAGCTTAAGAAACTGTTCTTCTTTAATATTTATAGTTTAGTGAGAATCTTGCAATTAATGAATGGAAAACACCAAAAAATATTTATGAAAAACATACATTTTTTACAGTTTATTACATATAATGTCCTTTACCATTTACATCCAAATGCCTTCTTGTATTTCTTTATCTTATGTATAGGATGCATCGTATATTTCAATGTGTCTCTAAAAAATATTTCATCGTAGCTGGAACATTTGTTAAAACAAATAAAAGAAATTTCTTTTTCATGTCCGCTAACAATAAATGTTCTTACAATTTTAATTTAACATTTATTTTGATTCTTCATTTCCTGCTTGTTGTTTATCAGATCTGCCAATTCTAGGTGTCAAAACAGCTCTGCGTCCGATCCGAGGAATAAAAGCTCCCCTGCTTTTAACCTTGAACCTGGGGTCTCGTCCTATCCTAGGAGTTAAAGGAGCCCTTCCGATTCTTGGAGTGAATGCTACCGCTCTTTTGCTTCCAAAGTCTTCTTCATCGAAACTTTTCTTTCCTACTCTTGGCACAAATGAATTCCTGCTGCGAGCAGTCTGGCGATCGGGACGGAAGAAATACTCGCTGTCGAAACCATTAAGTTCGTCCCATATAGGTCGGCTAAGCCCAGACACTGACTTTGAAATCTCTTGTCCACTTTCATTCTCAGACTGATCATTTTGATTGCCTTGATCTTCATCGATTGATCTCTTCTTACGTCCAATGCGAGGCACGAGTCTAATGCTTTGTCTCTTTTGTTCTTCTGGTTGGTTGCTTAAGACAATATCCGGTACTTGATCATCAACAGCGGGCATGATATAATCGGACGTCATCAAAAAATCGTAGTCGTAGTTTTCTGGATCGACGATTAGTCTTCCAGCTCTTGGGTAAGGTATAAGAGTCTTAGGAAGTTCCCAGACATGCCGGCCGAGGCGTGGATATGGCATCATGCCTCCACTTTGCTTCTTTTCCTCAACGAAGGTCCAATATCCCGCTCTGCCAAGTCGTGATAGGGGAATCAGGCCTTGACGCTTGTCTCCTTCGTACATTTCATAACCTGAACAATATATTGAGAATTAGCTGTTTGGGAAAAGCACTGAATAAGAAAATTTTATTTTCAGTGAAATATTTATTTAATGGTAAAACGTACAGCCAAGCAGCCTCTACTTTTAAAGCAAATAATGAATGATCCGCACTATTATCTAAATAAATACAGTATTCTAAATATTAAAACACTTACTGAAAGCTTCTAAACTTTAACACCTGCAATTTCCTTCCACAGGAGTTTCTTAATTATCTGATTTAAGAAGCATGATTTGGAAGGAATACTAAGAATTAGCACTTGAATATATTGAGAGTTAAAGCTAATTTTAAAGAAATTAATTGTCTAATCTTTTTATTTTGCATAAGAAATTTTTTTCTGCTCATTGTAGTATATTAAGTATATACTTTGAATATAACTAAAAATTATGATCGATCAAGACACATAACAATTGGAGGTGAAATCAATCAAGAATAATTAAGAAGTTTTTCATCGGTTAGTTCTAGATATTAAATCTTTTTTCCCAAAATGCAAGCTGAAAAGAAATTATGATTTTTTTCTCTTTCTTTTACTTATATGTTTAACATAGTCAGCAAATAAAAAACAATAAAGCATCAAAAGCACTGCAAACATCAATAATTTATTGCACTGTATAATTAGGCAAATACATAAGCAGCAAATAAAAATTAATAATTCAGTATGCAAATGTTATCCTGGGAAAAAGAACATGTCAAAATTCAGAATATCATTTTCAGATTTAAAAGTTCTATAATAAATATCATTAAAACAAAAGAAAACATAATTTAGAAATATTTTTATAAATTTATTATAGCATAATAAAAGATCTTAAAACTTATGCTTAATGTACTTGTTTATTGTAAAAATTTTGTATGGTTATTATTTTTGAATGATCTGATGGTTTTTATTCAGGGGGAAAATGTGATCTTCTTCTGTGCTGCTGCTTCGAATGCAAGTCGATCATTTAATTACACTAGTGTTATATGATTCTTATATTTCGGCAGGAATTACTTTTATGACGTAATCATCAAGAAATAATTTAACGTCTCCATTATTATGAGATGAATCTTCTTCATAGGCATTAATATCAGGAGCCAATAGGTGCTTCATTTGATTAAAATATTTTCCGTAAAAAATATTATCATTTAACAGATTTTCATTAGATGGTTTTGCATAATCTGAAAATATCTGTCTATGTAAATCTTCTGCATTTTCTGGTATATGTAAATTATGTAAATTGCTGGTATCATAAAAATCTTCCGAAACTTCTTCGTCAAATGTCTCTAATCCGTGTTTAAGCATGGCTTTCTTAGAGACCATATTCGCAGTATGCAAAACATTATTTGCCATCAGTTGTTGCTGGACTGCATTGATTAAAGTCTGAAGATTTGGAAGGAATTCGGAGACTAATGTGCTTTCTTCATCTAGTAAATCTCGACCAATCCTAGGAAGAGGAATCATGTTTTGCCTTTTATCCACCAGTTCACGACCGATTCGAGGGTAAGGTACCATGTATCCGCCTCTCATCTTCTCTAGGAAGTCCCAAAATCCATTACGTAGGAGCCGAGACAAGGGAATAAATCCTTCTCGGGTATTTTCTCCATAAATGTCATAACCTGAACAATACATATTACAAATGAGCTTATTTACATTAACAATCATGCACATTTAAACTCAGTAATGTGTGCCATAACATTAATCACATAGCTAAAAAACATTTTGAAACAGATGTTATTGAAATTGCTTGCTTTTAATTTCATTTAATTGTTTTATTTTAGATATCTGCTTTCTAAAGCAATGCTTAGATTACAGCAGTTCCAAGTTATTGACATTAGGCAAAAATTAAATTTCGATTCTGAATTATTCATAGAAATTTAGACATATTGTTAAGTTTTAAATATTATTTTTCTTTGAGTGAACTTATATAACACTCACTTTAAAATGATTTAAATTTCACTATGAAAATTTTAATTCAATATGGAGAAGTAACTTTAAAGTCATCTGCTGTCATTAGCTAATTGTGAATTCAATTCGAATTTGATTTTAAGTAAAAAGCGTTATATTATTAAATGCTAAGTATTATTTCCTCATTAAAGCATATAACACAAATGTATATTATTAAAGCTCTACCTTTCGTGAAAAGTCGTTTGTGATAATATCGTGGTGGGTAATTACAATGCATGCAGAGAATAAAAATTATAGTTATTACAATATGGTAGGCTTAATCTCATTTTGGATGATTGTTTTAATTCTCGTAAAAGTATTTTAACTTAAAGATACAATCTGCGAATTCTAGGAAGCTATTATGTGACGTGAAAGTTGTGAATCACTGCTGAGAAGTAAAATGAGCGTAAGGGTTAAATTGTGGAAAATTAAAGAGAGGAACTAAACCATTTCGCTAGAGCACACAGACACAAATTTATCTCAAGTTGTTGTAATTTTGAGGAGTGCACTTTTACATCGGAATCTTTCCTTACATCAGTAGTCTCAAACTGAAACTGCTTGCGGGCCGAATGCACGACCCAAAAGCAGCTTACAGGCCAAAAAATTGTTAATAAAAGGGGAATCTTTATCTTTAACAAAACACAGTTCTTCAAACTAAATTTTAAATTTTATTTACTAAATATTTATCAAAACATATAATATAAACATTCCTAATAATGGAGCAAAGGAAAAAATGAATTTATATTTCTTTCTGTCTGAAATCTAAACGTTAGCATTGGCCAAAAATTTGTTGATCACATTGCGTTATTCAAATACACTGATTACTACATTTTTCACACTGGATTATGTTTTAAATAACTTTGATACACATAATTGGTCGATGAATAACTTAATTAAACTAAAATGTATCAAATCATGAAACTTTCCAATGTAACAAAATTTGAAAATAAAAAATTAAACCCTGTTCTCATTTTTGTTTCATATTTATTAAGTTTTTTGATGCATAAAGAAAACAATATATGGAAGTAATTATAAGCATTTCTATTTATAATTACAAATTTCTGTTACAGCATCTCAGGGTGTTCATATTTTGATTCATTTTCAACTTTTGAGAAACATTACTCAACCATGCCAGTCACGAATTGTAGATACTCTTCTGTCAGTTTGGTTCTTTTCTTAAGCTTATTAATTTTCTTCTAAAAAAACTGTTCAGACTTAAATGTACTGTCAAGCAAAGCGATTATTATTATTGCAAAAGTTCGTACCGTATTTATCTCTTGAAAAGTACGAAAAATGATTAATAAAATCTGTATTTTCAAATCTTTGAATAAGATTTATATTACACTGTAAATAATTAACTCTATTTGTAGGTTTTCAGGGACTTTAATCACGTTTTTAACGATAATGAAAGTAATGCAAAATCATTAGAATAATAAGCTTTTTTCAAAATTCTTTTTATAATAATGCTAATTAACTTACGGGAAATGAATTCGAAGACTGTGTAAATTTCGGTAGCTTTATGCGGCCCAGGGACCACTAGTTTCAGGCACTTACTTTATAAAACACTCAAAAATCTATGTATTTTATATTACACTCATAAGGGCGATTTTTTTAACATTTTGAGTGTTATTTTTATTTATTAAATCTCAAGTTTTTCGCCCTTAAGCCGCACAAAATTGAATTCAACAGCTATATCACAAAATATTTAAAACTAGCATATCTTTTATTATCTTATTTATCATATTTAAAAACAGCATAGAATTTCGATACACTGTCTCGAGAGCTGAAGGTAAAAATGTTTTCTTTTTTCTGCACTGCTGCCATTACTCGCTTTGAAATTGTTGAGTTTGTTAGTGAAAAATTAATTAAAGATTTGCAAAATAGGAAATAGATAATAAAACTAATTCGAAATTTAAAATTCGATCTTCCAGGTGCCCATGTTCGAGTGGAGGATTACGTAATTTAAAATTTGATGCATGAACGTATATATGTTTTTCGCATTGCGAAAAACATGCATACATGCATGCAGATTCTCCATTATTTAATTTATTTAAATATAATACAAAACGAGAGTATTTGGTGGCAACATTTTGAAATGTGATTCAAAGCATAATGCCTTTTCGAGACCAATAGCCATTTTGGGCTAACGCTCCTTTGGACTAATAATTTCAGATTATATGAAAACAAGATATTTTAAAAGGTTTAATGAAGGATTAAACAACTTATTAACTTTTATTTATAAAATTACATGCTCTTGTTTGTTGTAATTTAAATAATATTTCTTTCCTTTAGAATCCTGCGGAATTTAAATCGTTTTGTCTCTTTTATCTCATTTATTTTTTGAGTTATATATTTTTTAATATGCTGAACTTTAACGAGGGAAGCCGGAACTTACTATTCATTAATTTCCGAAATGAATGTGGAATAATATGTAAGAAATTAAACACTTCATTTTAGCTACCTTTTTATAATATATCAGATCTCGATGAAGTGACATCAACTCTTACGATCTATTCATTCCCAAAATGAAGAGAAAACTACCAGAACATAAAAAACCTCAGCTTTTTTTACCAAAAGCGAGACTGCAGACAGCTTATAGTTTGGTGGGAAAAGAGTTGTTACGTATCTCATATGTGTAGTCGTAAATAAGACGCATTTCCTTCGCTATTTTTTCCCTGCTTTGTTTTATTAAGGAAACGCGAGGTATCTGGGGGGATTAGAGGTATTGGTGGCAACCCCCTGCCGTGTGATCTTATGTCTCCTTTTTCGGGATAAAGATTCCCCAGAATTGCTACGAATTGACTAAGTTTTCTGATGCCAAATGAAACAGAGGTAGCGCGTGCCTGAAATACTGAACGAAAACGCCTAATGAAAAAGCAGATTATTAACAACAAAATTACATAAATATTTATTTTATGTTTGGATAAGGGTATGGAATAGAATAATTGATCTTTATCTTAGATGTTCCATTTCTCCTTCAAAACCGAATTACACTTTATACTAAAATAACAATCGTGTTTTCTATACGTAACTTGTTGATTGTCTCTTCAGTGTATCATTAGTATACTACGCAGAAGAGCCGAATTCTAAATTTATTCGTATTGTTAATGAATCACTCAGATGTGATAGATATTTTCTAAATGAAATTACTGATTCTCAGATGTTGATAGGACTCCACCGTTAACTACCGTTACCGATAATAAATGAAAATACAAATGATCTAAAACAATAAAAGAAGCTTTCTTCAGAGATTGCTCAGTTCAGCAGAAGAAATTCAGAAATTACTTAAATATTTGAAACAATAAATTTAATAAACCTGTAATAAATGTAGAAAAAGTTTAGCCCTGCTTAAATAAAAAAAACGCTGGACAGTATACAGCAATTGTTAAAATGTACTGATTATTATTTTAAAAATCCTTTCGAATGTATGTTCACACTTTATAGCAATGATAAAAGAAGTGCTAATGACACTGTATTCCTTTGTTTTACAGTAATACTTATTCAATAAAAATGCACCATTAGATTAGAGTTTCAAATTTTATGCACAACATAATTCATACTATTGCATGCCTTTTGTATGGTTTAAATTTATCTGTAACTTGAATAGCATTATTATAAATTTTTGAGTTAATTCTAGAAAGAGGTGTTTAATTCTGAACGAAGTAGTTTAACAAAACTTTTAAACGTAATTCCAAATTTCATAATCTTGAAATATATTATTTTGAACATACCATCTTTGCTTAGATGTTGCTTTTATAATATAAGGATACGAGGTTTAGATAGAAGGTTCTTCTCAATGTTAGCAGTTGTTAAAACCTCCAATTATTCATTTACTTGTCTTGGGATAATGTATAGCGAAGGTATTAAAAGGTAAGAAAACTATATGAGGCGAAACTGTTTCAGAAATTTCTTCACTTAAATAAATTTTTGTCGCGAATCAAACATTATAACACTTTTTTTTTCACTGTTAAATAAAATAAATCGAAAAATACATTTTAAAGTGTTTTCTAAAATTTCATTTTTAAACCAATTAACTCTGTTTTAAATCGCATCAAACAGTTTAAATTTTATTATAAAGCGGGAAGGACGAAAGAAGGATGGGAAAAATATTGCATTAATTTTTCATTCATATTGGGTTTATAAATAAATCTTGCTTTGTAAAGGCCGATTGCATAATATTTCCACATGTTGCATTAATTAGTACTTATTACTTTGTTTCCCATCAATAATTAGCTTAAAATGGTCACTAAAATTATAGCGTCTAGTATACTTAATAAAAATACACCAATGTGTTCTAAAAGACTAGAAGAATTATCTTCAAGTCTTGACACAAGAAAAAATCAGAAGAAGGCTATATAATATCATCTTATTCAAACACAAAGATCTTCGCAGACGGTCTCACTTGGGCTGCCATAAGCCAGCACTTCTGGCTGTACGTATGCAATTAATGCTGAACTAAAATTAAATGTAGCTAAATTAGCCTAACGGCTCACAGGCTAACGTAACGCGCAGGAAGGCTCTGGTTTGCAGAAAATAGGCAGAACATGCCTAATAGCTAGAATCATTCAGCGCCACAGAATCAAATCGCTATTTAGTCACGGTAATGACATGGCGTCAAGTAGGCAGAACACGCTCTAAATAAACTCGCGAAACCCGCTTAAATAGCATTTCC